CTATATTATTACACACATGGCGAGACAAGGTGGGCTATATCAGGGATTGATTTGTGATGACTTGTAATGGCCTGGGGGAATTCTTGTTGTTGATATTTGTGTAGTGGTAAGTTTGAGCTTTATCTTGTGAAAAGTTATGAGAAAATATCCTACGTGCTGTCTATTTCTTTTCTTATACTTACTAGCTGGCATGAACTATGTTAGGACACTTGCACAAGGATATACGTAGTTAAGTACTCTTATCAGTTAAGAGGTTTTCTTGATATTGTTGAGTATAGATGCACACCCTTGTTTACTTGCCTTCTATGTGAGAATGACTCTATTTGGCACGTGAGTTGTCAATGCGGTTATAAAGTGTAATCAGGGCACATGATGCCAAGTGTTAGGGTTCAGGTATTGGGACCCGTGAGTGGTGAGTAGTCTGAGGTTCGGTACCTCGTGGAGTTTATTGACTAAAATCTGGTGTGAAAGCGGTCGTTTTGTTGAGTTGTTACTTGTCCTATCTTTATCTGTGATTATCGGATTTAGGATGTGTTTTCGATCATTCTTCTATGTCATTATTATGGTGTTCCGCTGATAGTTGTTGTGTTCCTTCCTTACTGAAATTTTCGTATTATTTGCCACTTCGCGTAGTCTTTATGTAGAACTATACTCTGTTGTTCCTATACTTATACTTGTTCAGGTTATTTAGTCTAGTAGGTGTCTTGACTGTTTCTCGTCACCACTCCACTAAGGTTAGTCTTGATACTTGCTGGGTACCGCTGTGGTGTACTCATACTACACTTCTGCATATTTTTGTGCAGATCCAGTTATTTCGAAGTCAGTTGATCATTAGCTAGCTGTACGGACTGTTGCTGTGGAGACTCGAGGTAAACCTGCTGCTGCGTTCGCAGGTTTCAGAGTCACTTTCTGATTTGTATTCACACTGTTTACTTTATTTCAAACAGTTGTATTTAGAAAATTGTAGTAAACTCTGTAGAGCTTATGACTTGTACTACCGGTTTTGGGAATTGTAAATTTTATAGAGATTTCTATTTCAAGTTGTTGGATGTTATTTGTTATTGTTATTATTCACTAAATGTTAGGCTTACCTAGTCTTTAAGACTAGGTGTCATCACGATACCCAATAGAGGAAAAATTGGATCATGACAGTATATATCCTGGATCATCACCACTGCAAGCTGATGGCCCTAGAAGGACTGCGTATTGCTCATGAACAAGGCTACATAGCCCCTGGAAGTTGAAACTGATTCGACATATGTCATTAATTGCTTAGATCAGGGCAATATAATACTTAACACTGTTATTCGTGAATGCATGTTGTTAATACTCCAGGTGAAGCTTCAAACAATCCATCACAACTACAAGCAAGCTAATAGGCCCGCTCACATGCGGGCAATGAATGCTCTCCTACAGTCCAACGACAGGGATCTGAAGTATTTGGTACAATCTCCGCTTTTTGTAATTAATGTGTTAAATTCGGACTATGAAGGAACTATTTATCTAGTTAAATATCTAAGCAACGATGTTTGCACTAAGCTTGCATCTCTAGGTAATCAAAATGTCCTAAGGGACATGTCTAAGTACTGTATTAGTCAAGTGAACAATGTCCATATGGACCTATGTTATGGTTTAAACCATATTCCCTAATATTAATAAATAATGATTCCTATTTATCAAAAAAAGTTCTTTCTGCGATGGAACACTACTTCTGATGAAAAACTGAATTTTTATCTTGCTAGTATTTGATAATTCCATTTTTCTCTGTACTTTCACATCGGAAGAATCTTTATAAACAATTATCAAACTATTCTTGTGAGTTTTGGAGTCCATTTGGTTTCAGGAATAATTAAAATCAGGATAAAATTTATACCAAAAACTTAGGATTAGCTATTTCAAATTAAGAGGTGAGATTATAATCCATACGAGATAGCTAATTCTATAAGATAACCTTGTCTAACCCGGGATTGAACCAATTGACTCCTTAGAGAATGCTTATTTTACTAGGAATAAAATGTTCTGTTGTTATCAGTTTATGTAAATTCAGTAAAAATAAAAATTGAGTTCCGACCTAGTATTATATTAATAAATCTATTAAATATTTATAGATATTTTAATTGTGAATCCAAGTATTACTGAATATTTGCATGAGGTCTCTATAAACACCAGTGTTTTAAAGGGCGGGGACGTGAGGCAGGGCATTTTACTTGATATGGGGTGAGGCGTAAGCCTCGAGGCCGGGGGGGGGGGGGAGGGGAGCCCATGGATCTTTAAAATTTTTAATTTACAAATTGATAAAATAATATAATAAAACAAAAAAAATATAAATTAAAAGTTTAAAAATTAAATGAGAATTAAAGAAACTCATAAAAAAATATCTACGACGATTCTTAAGTATAAATAATGCATACAAATCACTTATAACATCTTAACTTTCAAATAATTAAAAAATTATAATTTCTTTAAAAAAAATAATTAAACTCCACATTTTACCTTCCTAAAGTAAATAACCAATAAATCTTATTAGTACCATAATTAAAATATTACTCCTTCGTGAATAAATACAAATTAGTTTAAAATATTAAGCTAATAAAAGTCTATAATTAGGAGAGACATATGAACTAAGACACGACCAATAACAAGTGAAAATATAAATTCGCAATATTATGTCACAGTATTAGAATTATACTCAATCTTTATATTTCTATCGATGAATAGAACTTTTATCATTACTTTGTTAAAGAATTTTGAGAGTCAATGATGTTAATTAGAAAATCAGACACATGATTTGCGTTAGAACTGTTAGGCGAGCCCGAACGTTGGGCGGTAGGCATATTTAGGGAGCATGATCGGGCGTTTGGTGCGTAAGCTTCAGAGAAATAAGCCCCACACATGAGCCCACAGCGTTTTGCAAGTGCCCCACCCAGGGGCGAGCCCCGAGCGAGTCCTAGAAATGCCTTTTAAAATATTGATATAAACCCATAGAATTGGGGCATACAATTAAAAATATAATTCAAATATAAATTCATGGAATCAAAGAATCTCATCAATCTGAAGTCGAGCACACCAAGAAATACTCTATATTGTCTTAATTGGAAAAAAATGTCCTAACTTTATGAAATTGTCTACAATCACTAACATCGAATTATATTCCTTGGATATACCCAATAATCCCGTGCCAAAAAATTCATAGTTATCTTTTTCCATTTGTGTTCGGTTTTCAATCATTTTGTCTATGATTACTCAATTATTCAGACATCTCACTATCTCAGTTGACCATTTGACCTTACCTCATTTCTCCTCTCCACTAAATACCCCTATTCTAGAATCTCCTTGCCTTCTTCCATTTTTTCTATAAGCTAAGCTATGCTAAATTTTACCCAAAAATAAGAAATTCTGTTCAAAGGAAACTGAAATTCAAGAATTTTTCTTGTTTTGATGGGCTTGACTTTTGCCTTGGTTGAACTTCCAATTAATCCATGGCCAATCTTGTTGCCTTAACTCCTTTTAGTATTGCTACTGTTATCAGATTCCGCATTACCCGTTTCCACCTTCTCCTTATCTTCCTCCATTCCCTCTTATAAGTCCTTTTTGAAAGGATATTCTTTTTCACTATCTTTTATTTGGTTACGTGGAATATTCAAAGAGATTTGGAATTTCCTCTGACCCGTTTAGAAAAGTTGCATCTTTTTTGGATACTCTTTATCAAAATTTGAACTTTTCTTTCTGGATCACGAAAATTCAGATCTTTTTTTACAATCCAAGATTCAGATAAATCTTGAGCATATTATACAAATATTGGAAAAATTACACAATCTTTTTAGTAAAAAAAAAAAAAGAAGAAGAAAAAAGAACCAATTTTAAGTGGAAATGGCATCAGTATTTTTGTACCATGTGGTGGGGGATCTGACAGTGGGGAAGCCAGAGTTAGTGGAATTTAGTGAGACACAAACAGTGGAGGCTGCAATTAAGGCAATTGGGGAGTCTACAGAATGTGGTATACCAGTGTGGAAGATGAGATCTCAGAAGAGTGTAATTGAGAATGCAGAAATGAGGGCAAAAAGGTTTGTGGGTATTTTGACTTCACTTGATATTGTTGCATTCTTGGCCAGAGAGGAATGTTTGGTGGATCAGGAGAAAGCTATGAAGACTCCTGTTTCTGAGGTTGTGGTTCCTGATCCTTCTTTGCTCAAGGAGCTTGATCCTGCCACAAGGTATATAAATTGCGCTCGTTCAAGTTATTCATTGTTATGCCAATCCTTTATGTTTGATCAGGGAGTTATAGAAGGTTGCATAGGATTGCATGTTCTATTTTATATGACGCTATTTGACTTTACACAGAGTTTAAGATGTTTTTGTCTTATATATATTATTATATTAATGTTAGTCGAAGAAAATGAATTGAATAGCGGTTGAGAAGTTAGTTTGGTAGAGGAAAAGGTCACATCAAGATTTCAAATTTTGAATAGTTTGATAAATTTGAAAGTTGTATAAAATAGAATGGTGTCAAACATTTTGGAACATTCCAAAATGAAACGACCGCCATGTGAAATTGGGACGGAAGAAATATGTTAGTAGCAAAACTTAGTGAAATATGATTAAGAAATTCGGCTTGTTAAGTAATTGTTCACTTCTTGAGTAGCAATTTGTATCTTTGGTGGTTATCTGCTTGCCAAGTGATATGGAGACAAGAAAAAAATGAAATACCATAGGACTGAAAGGATAGCAAAGGGTTCCGCAGGTGTGTGGATGCATACTCGATTGATTGACTAGTGGAGCCTTGTATATTTTGTAAGTTAGAAATTAAGCAAACTTGATTTAAGTTTGGATGGTTGACTGATGGAATGTTTCATGTGATTGAATTTGAATTTTTCTTTGTCTCTCCTTTGCAACAGAAACACGATCCGGTAAGACTAATTCACACTTTCTCGTAATTGTCAATTAGGTTAAATAAGCTTCAACAAATTAATTTTAAGGATTTACCTTTCTCTTGGTTATAAAGTCCATTTACTTTCAGAATTTAGGTTAATGATTTCTGGAAGTGTTTTATGAAATTATGCTCCTGGTAAATTTGAATCACTCACATGCTAGATATTTTTCTTGACTTTGAGTGGAGTAGGACCTTCTTTAATTTGTTAGAGGAGGATATAGAGTGAGGGATTTGCAGGCTGGTTTCACTGATCAATGCAGCAATCTGGTTGAAGCTAAAGACCTCTCTCTCTCCCTCTCTCTCTCTCTCTCTCTCTCTCTCTCTCTCTCTCTCTCTCTCTCTCTCTCTCTCTCTCTCTCATATACTTGATTATGAATTGTCTCTTTGTTTTGAACCCGAGCAGAAGTTCAGAGTACTTAAAGATTTGGGATTCTCCATTTAGCAAAGTAGCTACTAGGCTGGAATATGGGATGTATTGGTTGCTGGATTATACTCTATAACATGTAAAGATACTCTAGGTTTATGGTAGAAAACATTTAATTCGGTTGGCCTGGGAATTAAGGTATCAATTTAGGATTTTGCAGTACTGCTGCTCTAGATTATGGCAACATGGGTACAGGAGAACCCAAGTCAGGTATTTGAGGGGAGAAGTGTAGAGGTGTACGCCCATTATCCACTGCATTTTGAAACTAGAAATATAGGATTACTCCATTATCTGAAAAAAGAGCCTGGATTTGGAGATCTAAAAGCATCACGGGAGAACACCTGCTGCATTATCCAGCCTTACCTCACTGTTGCTCCAAAGAAATGTCAGTTTGTTGTAACACTGGTTCTGCTGTTTAAGTTGGGCAATAGCCTGGGGTGTTCTAGGAAACTTTGTTCACCTCTCTTTCTTTCTCTTTTCTGAAGTGAGGTTTCCCATGTTTGCTGGTTTTTCCATTAAGCAAGCAAAACTATTATTGAATGATTGAGCACCAAGAAGGTACTTCAAGTGCACATAAGTATACCTGGACTTCTATCTGCTAGACATTCAAGGAACCTAATAAGTCCATAATACTATCACCATCACAAGATTCATCCTACACCTAAAAGTCAAATGATTAATGCACCTAAACTTCACAATAGTAATGGTTTGTTGCGAAATGACGGCTCGTATCCGGTGTTAGTGTGACAAGAATGTACCGCCAAGACTTAAAGGTAAGTTTTGCAGTGTGGTGGTGAGACCGACTATGTTGTATGGGGTAAAGTATTGGGCAGTCAAGAAATCCCATGTCCAGAAGATGAAAGTGTCAGAAATGAGAATGCTGAGATGGATGTGTGGGCATACTAGGAGAGATAACAACAACAACAACAACAACAACCAGTGAAATCTCACAAGTGGGATCTGGGGAGGGTAGTGCCTACTCCGGAGGAGTAGAAATACCAGGAGAGATAAGGTCAGGAAATAAGGTTATTAGGGACAAGGTAGGAATGGCCCCCCCGTGGAGGACAAGATGCCGGAAGCGAGGTTAAGATGGTTCGGGCATGTGAGGAGGAGGAACACGACTGTCCCAGTGAGGAAATGTGAGAGGTTAGCCTTGGATGGTACGAGAAGAGGTAGAGGTAGACCTAAAAGGTATTGGTGGTAGGTGATTAGGCAGGACATGGCGCAACTTCAGCTTACTGTGGACATGACCCTGTATAAGAGAGTGTGGAGGTCGATGATTAGGGTGGAACGATAGTAGGTAGTGGAGCGTATTTCTTTCACGGACCAATGGTATTGATATTGCTCTTGTATTTCGTTATGCTTAGTTTTCTTTTTGTTTCTCACTCTTATCCCTACTCTTGTTTCTTTTGCTTCGGTTGTTCTATTACCGTGTCATTGTTTACTTTTTGTTGTTATTGTTATTGCTCCTTCATCGTTTTTCGTTTTTCCTTAAACCGAGGGTCTATCGAAAATAACCTCTTTACCCTTACAAGGTAGGGGTAAGGTCTGCCTACACTCTATCCTCCCCAGACCCCACTTGTGGGATTAAACTGGGTTTTTTGTTGTTGTTGTTGTTGTCGTCGTTATAGTAATGGTTTGTTGCTATCCCTTCAGCACATCTTTGATCACTTTCTAACCACACAGTTCAAAAAATGCATAATGAGGGGTGGTCCTCTAACAAGTGTCTCTGCTCTTTCTTTGCCTTCATACGTTGCCATTCCAGTTCTCTAGGATTCCTTTGTAAACACCCAATGTATGCCAAAGGATTTAGGAACAAGCTCCAAATTCACCTTGTTACCTTGCAATAGGAAAATAAATGTTCTACAGTTTCAGGACTATCATTGGATAAAAAGCATCTATTATGTCGATTGAATCCACTTTTCCTTTTTCTATGTCACCATCCATCCAAAGCATTTGACTCCGGTTGGATCTTTTGTCTTCAGTCATCTTCGAAGAAGCTGAAATTGCTTCATCTGTACCACTCTTCATTAACCATTGATAATATGAGCGAGAATGTGCCATCTTTCTTGATTATCCAATGCTACCTTTATGTCTATGTTTCCAGAAGTTGCATGTTCTCTAGCATTTTCAACAGCAGAGTTATACTTTCCAACTCCGAATCTTTGTATCCTTAAGCTCAGGATCCAGATTCCGTCTCTGCAACGTTATGCTGCTGTACATAACTTATCTGTTGTCAGAGCATAAATTTCGGGAAAGATCTGTTTGAGTGGGGTATGTTAATCCATATATCATGCCACATTCTGTCCTTGATGCCATTTCCAATCTGCACCCTTTTCAGTGCCAGAAACTCTGACCATAAACCTCTGTTTCCATAGACCTGTACCGTATGAGCTTGTCACAGGTTTGGAGCACCACTGATCCTCTATATAGCATCTCCCCCTTATGACATTTTCCATTACTTTTCCTTCTCATTCCAAATCTCCCTAGCAGTTTATACTTTATAGAGTAAAAACTCTTGTTGTCTTGTTGTGAAAGTTTGATTCTCAAAATCTCTTCCCTTGACTTCCTTTTTAGCAACTGCTCTTTTAGCTTTTGAGGTCATTGTATATGGCTTGTGAGTTTTTAAAGAGGGCACTCATTCTCCATCAACTTAAGTTCACATCTTTGGCTGAATTTGGAGTATCTGATAACAAATATATGCATAAAAACAGAAAACTTGAGAAACAAGTACTTGATGTCAAGTTCTCTTTCTTCCCGACATTTACCATATATAGAGAACAAATTACCTATTAGTTCTTTTATCTATGCAATTTCCTAGCATCAGGCACCTTATACCTCTTCTCTTGAATCAGGTGTCTATTTGTGATCTTTATGTTGTCAAGGGCTCATTTAAGGCGCACTTAAGCCCTAAAGCTCAGAAAAGCTTAGGGAGAATGCTTTGCCTCGCTTAAGCTGCGCTTTAGTGTCGGCAAGGTACTAAGGCATGTGACTTATTACCCACGAGTTCTATCCTGAATCAAGCGGTACTAAAAACAACAATAATCGGCAAATAAGTGTATTAGTTAAGGAAAACATTATGAGTGAAATTATTACTTCTTTTCTTGAATTACACATTTATTTCTTTCCTTCATTGCGCCTTTTTTTAACTAAAGCCACACTTTAATTGTGTTTAAAGCCCCAATAGACCTGGAGCGCTTTTTAGAGCTTTTCGCCTTTGACAACATTGAGTGCGTGTTGTATATGAGATTCATCTTAATCAAGCTGCACCATGTATTGCAGAAAGGCTAAATAACGACTTTAGTTGTTTCATCTTTCCCTCTTCTCTGCTATTTTGAAATTCTTGTCCTTCTCACCATCCCCAAGCAAACAAAAGCGAATGTCATGTATGTTTGTGAACCGAACAGAAAACTTCTTGATTAGGTATGCATGTTTTTAATCAGCTGGTTGATATCATTGTTCAGTTCTGGGTCTCACAGTTGTTGGAGGATTCATGCTCGGAGAAGGAAGAGTACAGTGCAAGCTTTTGGTTTCATGAACCTTGGTCTTTCATAATGGGATCTAAAAGATTAAATGTGTGAATTTTACACTTAACATGACTAGGTTTTAGTAATCAATCCATCCAACCGAAGGTGTCTTTCTTTTTATTTCTTAAATGGTAAGGGAAACTTTTTTTTGATGAAGTAATTTGTTTATTGATGGCATCAAGAAGATGCAGTAGTACAAAAGATAATACAGCAAAAAGAACTAAGTCAGCTCTAATACAAGAAATGCTAATTTATGACCAAGGTGCTGACAAAGTTCAGAAAGTTATCAGGGGTGTCTACAGGGGACAATTTGTGCCAACTAAAAAGAAACATTAAGCACCTAGCCTTAATAGAGTGAATTGGAGTTGATACACCATCAAAGCATTTCCTATTTCTTTCTGTCCATAAACACCAAAAAATACTAGCAGGGATCATTCTCCAGATTTGCTTGATGGTTTTATCAACTTTCCATGTGTTCCAGTTTCTAAAGGCTACCTTGGTGCTCTGAGGCATGACCTAGTTGAGTCCAAAAAGTGAGAAACATGTTCCACACATCTGCAGCTACTGGACAATGTAGAAACAAATGGTTGTTGGTTTCTTCATTGTTCTGGCACATGTAGCATCTATTTGCAATCTGAAAGCTTCTTTTCCTTAGATTATCCTGAGTGAGGCATGCATCTTGTAGTGCAGTCCAACAAAAGCAGGTGACTTTTAAAGGAGCTCTTGTTCTCCAAATAAGCAAATGCTAAGGGAAACTTTTAAGAATAGCACCAAAACTCTCGTTGAGTAAATTTTCCTTTAGTATTTCTGCAGGGTGCAGGTTTTGTCTCTGGTCAGTAGTAGCATATTCCCCTGCTTCCACCCTTAAAAAATATTAGAAGAAGAAAGAAAGAATCATATCTCCTGAGAAAAGAAATAGAAAAGGAAGGATCGTGATCCATGAGTAGTCTGCACTCACCCAAAGAGCTG